TGCCTTAGGCCCACTATTCTTCAGCATCTTCATAAACCATTTAGATGAGAAGGGGGACTCATCAAAGTTGCAGATGACACCAAGTTGGCAGAAAGAGCCAACACTTTAGGGGATCTTCCTAATTGGGGGCTATTGGAAGACGCCCTCAGTTCTAAAGACAGTGGGATCCTAGATCGGAAGGGGGCTTGGAGATGACCTCTGCCTGGGTGAGAATCCAACATCCCCGAATCACTGAGAGATGGACGTTCAGATCCCGAGGCCTCTCCCGCTTCCCAGGACAGCCTGTTCTGCTAGGGAACTGCTGTTGCCATAAGAACGATAATCCAAAGTCTTATCAAAATCCATGTAATTTAAACCATTGTTTCTCGTCCCACCTTCTGGGATGGAGAAGAAATCAAACACCAAGACAAGCCAGGATGAGGGCACAGTAGAACCCCATTAATTGCATGGAGCTTAGATTGATAGCTTTGGTGTAGTTGTGTTTGTTTCTCCCTCCTATGCAGGCCGGATGGGCTCTCCGGCCTGGATGGCCTCACATAGGACTCTCCTTCCAAGATGGAACAGGCAACCCTTTGCTTGAAAATATGGGTAAGCATGCGTGAAGTGCAGCTATGTGCACACACAAGGCTCCACTTACATCTTCTCTGCTATGCCCTACGAGAAGAAAGTGCAATTATGTTCAATGGCTGGACTTCATCCTGGGCATGGGGAGGGGGGGGAGGACACTTCTCAAGAAATGACAATCCTGCAATCCAGACGATTGGAAAAAACTCAACTGAAGGAACACTACAATGTGTTACTTCAAGCAAAGGTCTAGCTTAGGGAAGCTTCCACCCCGCTCCCCCGGGTTGATTGAAGACATCTGTCCGGATCACTCTGGATCTTTTTCTCCTTTGCTCAGAGATTCCAGCAATTTGGGATCTTCAACTAGGAGCTCGAGAGCGTCTTCGCCTGCCACTCGCCTCACTGTCTCTCCTTTGGCTGCCAGGATTTCCTCAATGTTCCTAATTCAGAAAGAAAATTGTGTTACCAAAAAGGCGGGAAGCATCAGCTGTCACCAGAGGGAAAGCCTTGGTTTGTACACCTCTGATGCGAAATTGTAAGCAAGGAAACACCCCAGCTAACAATGACCGCAGAAGTCGTCACTCCCCAGAGAAGATAAGCCGCAATGATTTTTGCTCTTTGTCTTACCTTAATTACACGAAGGCTATCATACGGATTCCCTGTTTTGTTTATCTGTTTCGTAATGCTGTACTTTCAGCCTTCATTTGTTGAGATAAGAGTAGTAAAAGGCAACAATAATAGAGTAAAATAGTTTCTATAGGATTTTGGTCACCGAAGGAATTCTGCTTGGTGCTCATTTTGCAAGCCAAAACAATAAACAAAGATTTGTGGGTTATGAATGGTGGTGTGTCCATCATGTTAGTTCTGAATTGTTCCCAGGAACTAACTCCACCTTTGGCAGCTGAAGCATCAAACCCTGAAGAACCGAAAAGAGGGGAGGGCCAAGGATAGCCCACTTACCTCTTTCCATCTAAGTCGGAGAACCAGCCCAAGTTATCAGCAATCACGTGATGGTTGTTGCAGCCAGAGCATTTCACGATCACGACTCCATGATGATAAGCCACCTTGGAAATAGTTTTTGCAGAGCGTGTCCTGCATACCTGAAAGAGAAGCCAGGATCCTCTCAGGGAAGTTTCACAGAGGTTCTCTGGGATCTCCAAGGGCAGGAAATTTGGGGGAGGTGCCCATTTATTTAGGTGTGACTTCTTTTATTGCATTTGGAGAGCAGCCCAGCTCCCAATGACTCTGGGCGGCTTACAAAAGAGAAAAATAAAACAGGAAGGAAGGTGTACATTTGGGTAAAACACTTATTATATTAAAAATGAAATCCCCCTGTGCCTCAACCAACAGCCGGAGCACCTGGCCCAGGAGCAAAGCATCTTCTTCAAAGATTTGTGCACCTTTGTTGGGTGAGCCACGCAAATCTTGGGGTGACGCTGTGTGACAGGGAAGGGGCCTGCAGCTCTCTTGGGAGCATTACGTAAGCAATCAGCCATCACTGCCTTTCCAATTCCAGTGTCTGCCATGCTCCTAGTGCTAAACAGGCCGGGCCTCAATTAACCTTTTCCCAGATGGGATTTAAGTCAGCTGAGTAGACAAACCATCCTCTGGTCAAAGCCAACACACAGTGTTTTCAAAAGCGAAGGTGCTTGTGAAAGGCGTTTTCTGAACAGCAACACAGGCTGACCTGGTCCTCTTTTTTTTAACCTTTCCCGTGCTAGACAGCAGCTCTTGCATTTCCTGGTGGTCCCCCATCCAAGCACCAATGAAGCCTGTTTGGGTTCCCAGATCAGCTAAGGTTGTCCAGATACAGACGGGGAGTCATCCAGCTGGAGAAGGTTCCCAGGTGGACGATTTTCGGGGTGGGGGGAAGGTTCCATGCAATAAGCATCACGGGCAAGGGAAGCCCTCACATTGGCTAGTAGTCTTATGCCAGGTTAAGATGGCTTGCACTGGGATCTGGATGGGCAAACCCAGGAGTGGGGAAGCAGGTCGTGTGAAGTGGGCGTCGGGTTCCGCTGCTTCCTCTTCCTAATCTAAGTGACCCCCTCAACTCTTCATCCCTTCCCTTTCCCAGCTGATAGCACAGGGCGAAAAGGGCGGCCGCAACCTCCCTCTCTGTTCCGCCAGCTACCAAGATGGTGTTCTCTGCCTCCCTCCCTGTTCCAATATGGCGCCAGTGGCCGCTGTTTCGCCAACTCCCAAAATGGCACCCGCGGCTTCTCTACGTTGCACCAGCTACCAACATGGCGCCGACGGCCCCATCCTTGCTCTGCCAACTACAAAGATGGCACCCGCAGCCTCCCTGCCTGTTTCGCCCGCTACAAAGATGGCGTTCGCGGCTTCCCATCTTGCCGGCTGCTAAGATGGCGCCCGCAGTTTCCCCTCTTCTCCCTTCCACCCGCTACAAAGATGGCGCCCTCGCTTCGCCGCCCTCAACCGCTCCCACCCCTTCAGGAGGGGCGACGCATCCCGTGCGAACCCACCTTACACGTGAACAGCAGCTGGTAGTGCGTCGCCGCCGCCCCGAGCCGGCTCTCCTGTGGCTGCCGCTCCCCTGGTCCCACCGTCAAGGCTCGTCGCCGGGAAGCCGCGGCCGGAGATGATGAAGCCGTTGCCCCCGGCACCGGCCACCTGCCCAGCCCCCGCGACGCGACTCCCACGACCCCCGGGCCCAGGAAGAGCCAGCGGCGTGGCCGGAGCAGCGCTTTGCAGGCCGCAGCCGCCATCTTTACTGTGGGAGGCGACGCCGCCGCCTTTCCCGGCCTTGGAGTAAAGCCGAGCAGCAATTCCACAACTGGCCATCAGGGGGCAGCAAAGGACGAATCTTCGCGTCA